TGTAAAAATCACCATAAATTGTAGAAAAATCATATGGAGATGTGCAAGTAGCCATTTCAAAGCTAAGAGTTTTAACTACTTGCACCTGGAACAGTTTTGAAAACTAAAATATTTAAGTTGACCAAAACAGTCCGTGATTAAAGTCCATCTTTTCTGATGTAATCTGTTAAAAAAGTTTAATTGTGTTCTTGATGATTTTACTTGTATTCCCCCCTTAAAACTTAAGAAAAACATGTAAATGTAGGGGTATGAACTCACCTTATGTGGTTTCAGTAGATGAAAGTGAGAGAGAGGAAGTGTTCAACCCAAGAACACTAAGAAGATGTCTTGATGATTCGAGAATCTAACACCGAATAAGATGGAACTTGTGTAAGATATCAATGATTTGAGTAGAATGGAGTTTAATAATTATGTGAATGATGAAGATACTTACTAATTGAAGAAAGAAATCCCTGGAGAAAGCCTTGAAGTTCTTGAAGTTGAGAGAAAAGATGAGAGAATTTTGGAGAGTGTTCTTGGTTGCTAAGTGTAGAATGAAAGAATTTTATGGAGAATGAGGAGAGAGGATCAATCATCCAGCTCTTAGAACATGGGAAGAGCTGGAGATTGGGTGTAAAGGTCCACTAAGGAGACAAGTGGTAGTGGGAAAGAGTGGCTAATCATAGAGTGAGGTGGTGGTGGTTTGCTTTTGCCATAAATTAAGGAAAAGCAAATATTCCCTCAATAATTAGTTCAACCACTAATTCTTTTAATATATTTTATAAAAACCCTGGAGATTTATATATTTTGGGGCCTTAGTTTATAAAATAAAGTTTTAGGTGAAAATCCCACGTTAAAAATAATGAAAAACGGAGTTAAAACGAAGTCGTAGTCGAAAACCGGGAAAAAAGGCTGAATCTGCGAAGTTGCTTGGTCCTGGGCCGAGGTTCGGACCTGAGGCTTCGGACCTGAAGCTTCGGTCCGAGGCTTCGGTCCTGAAGCTTCGGTTTTGGGTCCTTAAGGCTATTTTACCCGTTTTTACCCTGTTTCAAGTGGTTTTTGACCCGGTTAAGGGTCGAGATGACCCAAATGATTACAAAAAGTTAAAGTAACTTTTGAGAGAGATTTGGGAGAGATTTGGGAGAGATTTCAAATAGAAAGAGATAGAGTAAAAACGATTTAGAGAGGTTTCGTTTGTGATTAATTTGAGTGTCCGGCTTCACCACGCAAGGTTCGTAAACCCCGTTAAACCGTGTTTTAGTGTCGTACACAATCCCGATGATTGTGCAATAGTGTTTTATCGCTTTGGTTCGTTGTTTAGCACTGTTAAGGCTAAGGAAAATCAAACACATGAACTTTCCAAATGATGATTTCTCATTAAAAATAGCGAATTGTATAGTGATTACATAACGTAAACCCTAACATACAAGGGTTATTGGAGTTGACCGGTTTGACTTGTTGACTTTGTTTGACTTTGAATTGACCGAAATTTGACGGTTGTCACAAAAGCCTAGATCAAGAATTCTCAGGCTATCCTACATGACTACATATATAGTCCCTAAGGCACTCCACTAGATGATAACCAGTTACAGATAGACACATAGATCTAACAAATCACTACATCATAGCAACATCCTATATACCAGGATAAAGATCTAACATATCACTACAGCATAGCAACATCCTATATACTACGATACAGTTCTAACAGATCACTACAATATAGTAACATCCTATATACTAGAATACAAATCTAACAGATCACTACAACATAGCAACATACTAAGTACCAACAATCCGTGGAACACATGACCGTATATACTCAGATGTGAGATTGACACCCGAATAGGTGATCCTACTCTAGAGCCACAACCAAATGAGGAACATGAAAGAAAGCCTAAATCAAGAGTCCTCAGTCTATCCTACATGACTATATACAGTCCCTATGACATCCATATACTAAAAGATAACGAAAACTAGTGGGTCGGCATTAGTACCTTCGACCCACGGGTACAATGAGGCAAAACTCACCTGAAATGAAGAAACCCGAAAAACTGAGACGTGTTTCCCTTTCTGCATTGCGTGCTCCCGCGAATCCTCTATTCACCAAAAACCAAGTAAGACCTTAATCAACAGTCCAAAACTATCAAGTTTGACGTCAAAAGTCAAAGGTCAACGAAAGTCAACAAATTCAAAGTCCATGGCAGCTGCGTACGCCCAGCGTACACGGCTTGATCTTATTTCTCCCTTAAGTACTTTATCACTTAAGACCTTTTGTCTAGAACTCAGATCTAGACTCAAAACATCGACTTCAGTCATAAAGTTTCCACCTTTATGACTTTCTACGGCTAGAAAAGGTCCAAAATCTAAACCCCTAACTTATTAATCCATTAAGACATTATAACTCTTGCATGGAAGGGATAGAAGGACCAAGATCACATTTTTATGGTTCCTAATAGCTTCACAATGGATAAAGTTTCCAACTTTATCCATTAGAATGGTCCCAACAAACAAGATCTAGTCTTTAAGTCTCAAAGGGACCAAAAGTGCATCTTTTCCAACTTAATCCATTAAGTCCAAATCTCCAACCTCCAGATCTGAATCAATATGATGTTTAGATGGATAAAGTTTCCAACTTTATCCATAACAAGGTCACAAACTTTCAACATCAAAACGTTATGCACTAAAGTGACCAAAAGCTCATAACACCCAAAACTAGCTAGATCTAACAAATGAATCATCAAGATTCAAACTTTATACCTCCATAAGAAAGAACCAAGTGAACAAGGTATGGATCTACAAGCTACAATGCAATCAACACTTCTCCAGTGAGCTCCTTCTTCTCCAAGATGAACCAAGAACACTCCAAAGCACTTAAAAAACCTTATTTTTTCTCACAAGGATCAAACTAGGGTTAGGGTTTCAAGGGAGGACGTTGAAGGGGTGGAGGCTGAGAATGAAATGAGTTTGGGGAAGTTAAGGAGCTTAAATAGGGCTCAAACCACGAAAATAAGGTTTGGGTTCTGATTGCGTATGCCCAACCTACTCCTGGTACGCCCAGTGTACCAGTGATGCCTAGTACGCCCAGTGTACTCCCGTACGCCCAACATACGCGACTAACCCAAAATCGTCCTAACTTCAAACGGTCATAACTTCTTCGTTATAACTCCGATTTCGATGATCTTTATATTCACGGAACGTATTAAAACCATGATTCTCGTACCTAGAATATGTCAAGGTTTTATTTTCTAGGGGAGTATATAAATTTCTATGTATTTTATCTCAAGTATCCAGATGTGTTGATAAGTTAAAACCATGATTCTCTCATCTAGAATATGTACAACGCAAACATGAAAATTCAATCGATTCAATCTTTTTATTTAGCTATATGTTTTAGTATGTTTAATTTACTAAGTTAATACGTGGATTACACTAAAATGGTGGAAGATTGTTGGTGATTTTAGTATAATCGGCCATTTTATCTAATATAAGTAGGAGGTGCAAAGTGCACATTAATATAGAAGGAAAATTTGACCCCAAACATGATGAAGAGCAGAGATGAAGGGGTAGTGCACTTATAGGGTCCAACGGAGCTTCCTCATGCTGCATAACAACAAGAAATTTTGGGAACTTGAATAAAGAATAAGATTTTGGGTATGCTCAAATGCGACTCAGGGGGACTCAAGCTACCTATGGTAGTTCCAATAAGGTAGCTTGATTTGTGTGTATAGTTTTTTTCAGAAACCGTTTTCAACTGAAGATTCTGTATTTTTCGTCAACCTTATCCAATTTTCGGATAGAAATGTATATGTACTCATATTTCACTTATTGGAACGCTCTTACGAAATCTAACAATTTATATGCTCTCTAAAAACAAAATCGTTTTTTGGTGTCTAGAACTTTAAGTGTTTCTCACGTGATTATCATGAATTGAATTTCAAAGTAACCCAAACGTTACCGGAAGAAATATCATATATTACCGGAAGAAATATCAATACGAAAAGTGAAAATGATCGTTGTATATCCAAATTCATTAAAATTAACAACCATTATTTTCTACTCCATTTTCTAACAAACCACTCAAGAAGAGTTTTGGTAGGCTTACAACCTGATTTTGTAATCAAGCCCCACTTCCTATATATTATCCAATTATAATTTAGCACGAAGTTTAACTTAACAAAACATCTTAGGGAGGAGGGAGTCATTCCCTCCCAACCCACTGAACCCACTGCCACATCACTTTTTCTCTTTTGTTTTTTTTTATCTTTCCGAACCCACAACATACGGAAATCATATCTTTTTGAACCGACTCAACCCACTCAATTAAAAAAAATACAAAACAATCAAATGTAAAATCTTAATTAGCAATAGAGTTATCGGCGGTACCACTCCCGATTCAACGAGTGGGTTGATTGGTTTCACTAAGCCACTTCATCATTTTTCTCTACTTTCTCTTTCTTATTTTCTCTTGTACCATGTGTTTTAAAACTTGTACCTTAGTTGTTTTGTATTCTTTTTAATTGAGTGGGTTGAGTGGGTTCAAAAAGATAGGATTTTCGTGTGTTGTGGGTTCGAAAAGATGAAGTAAAATAAAAGAGAAAAAATGATGTGGGAGTGGGTTCGGAGGGTTGGGAGGGAACGACTCCCTCCTCCCTTGTTAACAAGTCTCTGGTTTAAGATTGTCACATGATTTTGTAGTACGCAAACCGTGTCTATTACATAATACAAAATAACTCTTTCTTGAATTTATTACGAATTTCCCAGACCTTCTTCCATGGAGTTGGGAGTTGGGACGCGCAAGCTATGTACTGTCTCCATCAATTTACGACCATAATAGTCACCACCCACCCCATGGCCCCCTTCTAACCTTATTACCTATCTCCATCATACTTAAATCGAATGGGTTCAACCTTTCATAGTCGTTTTCATGGTCCCTTGTCAACTAAATACACTTCTTGCTTCTTTCCCTCAGTATTACACATCGTCTTCCCATTAAAGCATCCTTCCAACACCAAATTTACCTTATTTTGATTAAACTTTCCTCATAAGGCTTACATTTTTACTTTTCTTGATCTTCGTTATTCTTTATTCTTTACATGAGTTGCGTTTTGAATCATTTCAAGAAATAGAGTCTTATAATCATGTTTTTCAGTTTCTAGATTTTGGAGATGGAGTCTTGGACCTTCGATTCTAAAGCTAAAATGGGGTCCTTGGATTGGGAATCCAAATCTCCATTTATCTTTGAGAACAATATGGTTTTTTCAAATAACGCAATGTGCATTGAGAATCAAGGATTTGGAGAGATTTGTTTCCCTCAAATCGTCGGGAACTCATTGTCGAGTCCTATTATGGGTGCCACTCACAATAAATTTCTTGAAGAACATGAATCAAGTTCTGAGCTGTTGAGTTCTGTTGTCGAGTCAAATCAACTACTTGATCTTACTACACACGTGGCATCTAAACAGAAACGAACCATGGTTTTCAATTCTTTGTCACCATTATGCAAAGTTCATGGCTGCAACAAGAGCCTTGTCTCTTGTAAAGATTACCATAAGAGACATAAAGTGTGTGAATTACACTCAAAAACAGCTAAAGTCATCGTGCATGGAGTCGAACAAAGGTTTTGTCAGCAGTGTAGCAGGTAATTTTTCATACCCATTAACTAAATTCAAATCTTTTCAAGTTTCATATCCCTATTTGTATCAATGAAGCATCTTTCAAACTGATTTACGCACCATTTCTAAGCTTGTTTCTTGATTCTAGGTTTCATTTGTTGAAAGAATTTGATGATGGAAAGAGGAGTTGCAGGAAACGTCTAGCTGATCATAATGAGCGGCGAAGGAAACCTCATTCTAGTCGCCATGGGAGATTGCTTCCACCATATCGTAAGATCTTGACACCACTCTCTCAAAATTTTGTGTTTCTTTTGAGTTCGTTTTTCTTAATAATTCAAATAATTTTCAAGATCCAACAGGCACCAAGGTTAAAAGATCCACAAAAACAAGGGCAAGATCATCTATAATAGATGTAGATCAGCACCCATCAGTTTATGTCGATAATGATGAATACATACAAGCATCAAATTCCCATTTATTTCCGTTTGTTAATAAGGATCAATCAGGTGAGGAACAAGGATGAACAACTCGTTCTTTTTTCTAAATTTTCGTTGAGAAATTGCAGTGATTATTAAACTTTTTAGGTGGTGAAGAGGACTTCATTACCATGGATTCAACGTGTGTTCTCTCTCCTCTGTCATCTCAATCACATGGTTCTTCTTCATGTCATTCATCAAGAAACCCAACATCATGGACACACGCACTGAATCAGAATACCCATCTAGCGTCTGGAGTGTTAAATAACATGAACCCATTAATGGTGGGTTCTGAATATATAAACTCTGAGAATCGGCTATGGTGTGATGAGGTGTCTACTGTCGACTTGCTTCACCTATCATCACAGCTTGAGCGAGTGGAGCTTCATAAATAAATATGGTTATATTGTAGAGGTGTCTACTGTCGACTTGCTTCACCTATCATCACAGCTTGAGCCAGTGGAGCTTCATAAATAAATATGGTTATATTGTAGCGATTGAATCTGCAGAAAGCTTCATTTTCACCATTTGAGTTGTTAGTTGTTATGGTAGAAATTTAAGATGGTTATATTGTAGCGATTGAATCTGCAGAAAGCTTCATTTTCACCATTTGAGTTGTTAGTTGTTATGGTAGAAATTTAAGAAAAAAACAACGCCGTTGTCGGGGATCGAACCTGGGTCACCCGCGTGACAGGCAGGAATACTTACCACTATACTACAACGACTGATTTGATTATATATTCCTATACAATATTGTAATTTAGCTTATTCTCGTATTTGATTTAAATATACAGCCGGACATGAAAGCGACTAACAAAAGAAAAAGAAGGTAGAAAACAAAGGTTGCAAGCTGTTTCCTATAAGTCAAAATTTCTATCGACATTTTCGAAGATATAAATAATCATATAATAGATTTTTATCAAACTACAACCATATGTTAGAAAAATAATTCTTGAAACAACTTAATTAATAAATACATTGTACAAAACAATATCTATCTTTACCCCAATTGTAAATTCCAAATCACAAATCTTTGACATTTTTACCCATAGTCCCATACCTTTCACCTCATGACTTATGACTCATGTACAACAAAGTTATCATAGATTATAAAAATTCAAACCTGCAAAAGGACCACTCTCTTAATGAGGGGCACAAATAGTCGATTCTTGTGATAAAAACGTGGGGACTCCGCCAAAAAGTAAAAAATTTACTCAAATTTCCAAGTGGGTCCCACACAACAATGATTTCAATGTCTTCACCATCATTTCAAGATTTCAAATTTAGTTTTAATAAGTAAACAAAAGCACATGAACAAAATCAATCCCAAAAGGTGTATATAATAAAGATCCTCATCATAACCCTCCATACTCCAAAAAATTCAAATGCTCAAATACCTTACAAAAGTAACTCAAATATAAATAATTCATTAATAAGCCTAATGCATTACTACCAAATAATTCAACTATGGATCAAATTCAAAGTTTCAAAACTCAAACCCTAAACTTCACTTCCCATTAACAACTTGTTGACCAGATGGATTAAGCTCATCCCAAGCTTCAATCCACGTCAGCATAGCATCAGCAAGTTTGTTGAAATAGTCATCAACCTTCCCAAGCTTAGCTTTCACCTGCTTTGACAGCTCCTTGTAGCAGCTTTGCACGGTGGTGCACTCTTTTGGTAGGGTGGTCGCCTGAAAAAATGGGATCAACTCCTCCTGCCAGTAAATCCCTTTGTATTCTTTTTTCAAGTTCACAAAAGGGTTGCTAGCTTTACTATGCCAAATGTAGGGTAAACCAGTCTTCACCCCCCACCCCATATGATCACAGATCACCTTCATACACCACCCTGCCCACATGTCATCATAGCGACCAATTGGTTGACCATCGCCCATTAGACCAAAGTACATTGCAGGGCCTATGAGTTCTCGATCAAATGCAAGGTTCATTCCACACATCGGGAAAAGGGTTCCTTTTGGAATTGTCAAAACTGCGTCTACAAACCTGAAGATCGAGAATAAAAATGAGATCTTGAAAAGAAGGAAGAAATGAAGATTTTTGGTTGTTTGATTTTTTTAGTTACCTGGTGTTTCTTTCGCGGGGTTTGACTAGTTGAGTTGGGGCGTCGTAATCTGGGATGTTGAGCCAGAGGCCATGGGAGACTGCGGTGGGGACACCTTCACGGAGGCTGAAGGGGTACCCACGGACGAAATCTGTGCCTTCTCTGTATGGATCGTAGAGGGTGTTGAAGAAGAAAGGGGTTGATGGAGAGAGGAGGTTCTTGATGTGTTGTTCAAGTGCGTTGATGTCGTTTCCAGATGGGTCTTTAGCAACCTGATGAAGAAGGTGAGTTTTGTAAGAGTATGGAAGAGAAAGCAATTTATCGAACACTTGGTGTGCGTGACGTAACGAGATCAAGTTATTGATCAAAATCAGAATTGTAAATTAGATCTAGCAAGTTTTTTTAATTTGAGATGCATGCGTGCATTGCTTAGAGGTAACCAACTGGAAAAGGGTCAGATTTCAAAATCAAGATCCATACTCGAAGGAATAGATCTCAAAGTTATTTTTTTTTTAAGGGTCCATGTCCACATACCCACGCAATTATTAGAGATGGATTTCATGTCATAATCAGGGGTATTCCCTTTTTCACAGGGTGACTCTGTTACTTAGAAACGGAAAAGCCAGATCCAAGTCAAACACGCTAACAGACCTAGTCAAAACCCCAGATCCGTGGAAATATCAATGGAAACAACAAGAATCAAACATCATTGAAGTTAATTTCGATGTTAAATTCAAAATTCAGGAAAATTTCCGCAAATCATACGATCTTAAGACAAGACGCGGATAATTTCGAAGTATGTTTTAAATTTCAAAGAGAAATACGATAGACTTACAAAGCAATCGTCGTCAATGGTGAAGATGTACTTCTTCTTCGACACCATGTAACCGAAGCAACGACAAGCAGAATCCTTGAAGGAGATACAAGAAGCTTTAGGACCCAGGATTCTGTTGATATCGTTACGGTTATAGAGCTCGTAATCGAAGCCTTCTGGGACTTTGATGACCTTTGAAGGATCGCCATCTTGTACGATGATTAGATGGTAAGGTTGAAAGAATGGCCTCCACATCTCTAGGAAATCTAGGTTTCGAATCGTGGGTATGACGATATCGAGTTCATCTTTCAAAATTGGTGTTGGGGTTACAGGGGAAGCCATTGTTGTTGAAAGAGAAGAAACCGAGTAGGTTTTGTGCGAGTAGAAGCAGGCGACAGTTAAAGGTATAAATAAGGAGATACTTTTTGGACTTGACGTCGACGAAATAGAGAAGAAAAGTTAGGGGGCTAAAAAGTTAAAAAGGATAACTTAGAGTCCTTAGTTATAAGTTATTATAAGTATAACAGTTGAAAAGTATATGAAACTCGTGAGAGGATTTTCAAACTCCTAGTTTGAAAATTTTGGGAGTATATGCGTTACAAAATTTATAACATGTCATTGTGTTGAAAAGGTTGTTAAATACAAAAGTATTATGTGTACTTAATATAAACAAAGTTGGTGATCAACTTTTGTTCTGGTTAGTGAATGTCAAACACATTATTTTTCATATTATAACACATTTGGGAAAAAAAATCTTCATCAATCCCATATAAAATGACCCAACAAGATCGAGTCTAGTTGACCTTGATACTTAACCACAAAATGATACCTATTGTAAATTATAAATTTATGAAAATGAAAGATTTAAATAAGCATCAAATATATTATATCCACGTTTGGCATAGCCACATATGGAACTATCATAGCAATAGCAATAGATGTCCAAAAGAAAAATCTTTAATTTGATTATTCGAACGAGTGTCTTCCAACATGAAAACTATCCATTGAAACTTGTATGGTTCCTTGAGTTCCATATATCGCGGTTGTACAAACACATAACAAGATTGTCTATCATTGATACTCTTCCCAACGATTCTAATATATAGGACAGTTGTAAGTTTGCAAGTGTGCTACAAACTTGCTCATATCACAGGAACAAAATGAGAACAGTGGAGGAAAAAAAAAAAAAAAAAACAACAACAGAGGAATAAAACTGGGGAATTGACAATTACTTGGAGCCTAAACATTTAATAAAAACTATGTATTTTTATTAAACCGTGGATTTTTTATTTTTTATTTTCTGAACGGCAAGCAAAAATTTGCATTAACATGCAAAAAGCTTAAACGAGAAGCTCAAGTCTCGATACAAGAAAAGTTTAACAACAGAACCAAACAAACCAAACAAGATTAGAAAATTTGGATCTATACTTAATCCAATTAAAAGTGCTAACACATATATCGTCCGCCACGTTCAATATAGCTCGTCTTTTATTTCTGAAAACTAAGGTGTTATTTGTTTTTCTTAAAAACCTCTTCAAAACTCTTATTGCTGTGCGGCGCAGCACACGCGCAACATTTTTTGTCCCGCAGCAGTTTGTTTTTCGGAAGTCTTTCGGGCTTAAAACCTCTGCCCGTGTGCTTCTTGGGGAAGCACTTGTTGTACCTCTTCTCACCTCTTCTCACCCCTTCAAACCTAAACTTAAAAAAATCCAACCAAAATACAATCGGCCCCTTTTTTTTTTCCAAAAAGCTAAGAACGACCATATGTTGTTTTTTAGATATTACGTTTATGGTCCATAAAGTATATTTAATATTACATTTATGGTCATTTACTTATTTACTATATTTTATTTTCATCCCTTTAACATTTAATACATTAAATTTATATCCCTTTAACTGTTTTCTCCTATTTAATTTAAATAAGTTAATTCATTTTAATGTTGTTTTTTAAATTAGTTTATTTTAAATTTTTATTGTCTGCAGATGTTAACAAAAACAAACACGCTTCTTATTACAGTCTGCAGCCGTTTGGTCCACCTCTTCTGCTGCAGAGGTTTGCAGAGGTGGTCTGCAGACTTTTTGAATTTTTGCTTCAGAAAAACAAACAACACCTAACTCATTTAGTGCCATCCAAATCATCCATGACAGCGAATAAACAAGTACAAAAACTAACTCATTTCGCGTCTTCCAAATCATCCATAACAGCGAGTAAACAAGCGACAGGAACAATTTCTTCAAACCTTTTCCCACACCTCTAAGAGTTGAGCCTAGCCACAAGATTAGAGCAAGAAGAAGGAATATCACTCCAAATATTAGACCATCCAATAAACCATCTCCAAATGTCTTTAGCATAATCACATAAGAAGAATAGATGCTCCGAGCTCTCCTCTATATTATGACATAAAGGACAACGAGTGGAAGGGATATTAAGCCTACGCTTCGCCAGATTAATATAAGTCGGAATTCTATCTTGTAATAACCTTCAAACAAAGCAATTAATTTTTAAAGGGATCCACTTTACCCGGACAAACTTACTCACAATATCATCATCACTCGCATCAATCAAGCTTACGAAGTTTTTAACCGAGAAATTGCCATTGGAATCTTTACTCTGGCGCCATCTATCTCTCCCCTGAACAAAAGAGAAATCTTTGAACATATTAGACATTAGCGAAAACTGAGCAGCCTATCTACCCCTTCGCA